ACTCACTCATGATCACACTCACTCATGATCACACTCACTCATGATCACACTCACTCATGGCCACACACACTCATGGCCACACACACTCATGATCGTGTCATAGACATCCGATCCCTTAATTTAGTTCTCACAACGCACTCATTTTGCCCATCCTTTGATGGGCGACAGCATGACTGCATCTCATTAACAAACATTAAGTATCTTTCCACAACCACCACGATCACCACCATCATCCTCGTCATTGTAATTGTTCTTCTCATCATCGTTGTCATCATCCTCTTCATCGTCATCGTCATCGTCATCGTCATCGTCATCGTCATCGTCATCGTCATGCTATCGGCCGTGCTTTTGTTGTAATGATTGAAGGGCCTACAGCGGAGAGGTGGTGGTGGTGGGTGTTGAAGCAAAACGTAAGAGGAGAATTGGTGGGTGTAAGAGGTTGTGGTGGTGGATGTGGAAGCAAGTCGTAAGAGGATAGTTGGTAGGTGTAAGAGGTTGTGGTGGTGGATATGGAAGCAAGTCGTTAAGGGATAATTGGTAGGTGTAAGAGGTGATGGTGGTGAATGCGGAAGCAGAACGTAAGAGGAGAATTGGTGAGTGTAAGGAAGAATGAATGTGGGAAGGGGGATTTTCAACTTTCAAAAAAGGCCTCCTTTTAAATATTTTTAGTCAGACGAAAAAGCTTGTACATTGTTATGCAATTTCATGGAGATGCACTACTGATGCTATCCTGATATCAAAGTAGATGTTGCAAATCAGGTCCAACGGACGGTACATCAAATCCAATGGACGGTACATCATTTTCAACGGACTGTGCGTGATGTTCAACGGATGGTAAATCAGGTTCAACGGACGGCACATAAGTAACCAACGGATCTGACAAGCTGTAAATGACGAGGTATACTTGTAACTAAGAATAGCATCCACCGCCATTGGAAGTCCATCTGACAGACATTGTTTGTATGTTCTGCATATATGATTTACACAATGGAAAGGGCAAAAATTATTTGTTAAACTCTATGGATGGGTGGACCATAGTTCGAAAGTCAATTCTACAGTCCAACGTGTGGATGATATGTTGCGCGTACTTCTCATCTGACAGATCTGACCCAATGGATTAGCTTCGACATGTCACTACTATAAGAGTCGTTTGCTGATTTCGATTTTGTCATCATCATATCTGCTGACATATGATCGCATGAAATACGATAAATCTATAAAATATGTACACCTAAGAGAGGTTCACCTTTTATATAAATACTTGACTTCCATTTTCAAATATATCCCACCACCACCACCACCCATTTCCACACGTAGCTCTTCGCAGAAATGCGCCCATCTGACTCCGTTCTGAGCATCGATCTTTTCCTTAGCTGGATGATAGCATTATGCAACAAGCTCGACAGAAGGTGAAGGGCAAGGATCTTTCACTCTTTCCCCTTTTCCACTCACACGCTTCTCCCCTCTTAAAAATCGCCCATCTCACACCGTTCTTTGAACTTGATGCTCCTGAATCTAGGCGAGCGATTTCCTATGGATGGACGAAAGTATCTTACAAAAAGTTCGATAGATCGTAGAGGGTTCTCCTTTGTGAGATGCGACATAGATGATTCCCTCCCCTTCTTTCCCACGGCACGGACAGCCTTCTTTCGTCAAGATAACCTTTTCAAGCCTCAACCTTATTCAAGATAGATCACCTCGAATTCTCCCAGCACAACGTCTGTGATAGGAATGATCAAGGCCCAGAAGGAGTATGAGAATAGTCAACCTTAACTCATTTTCGCCTCATAACCAAATCTCAACACAAAATCACAACGTACAAGTCCGAATAGATAATCAATCTCTGCCAGATGGCCTTTGAGTGTTGTTAATATCTGTCCAGTTGGCAGATGGTTGTAAAGCGAAGAAAGTGTATGCATCGGGAAGCAGACACTACCCATCCTTCTATGTGTGATGTGTGACATCGTGATATATTTCATAAAAAAACGTTAGGTATCATTACATGGCTTTATGCGAATCCTCTAATTTTCAAAACCAAGGGAACGAGCCTGGAGGCATCGTTTGGCGTAAGTTGCGATGCATGTAGCTGCCCGCAGTCTCTTCTGATTCGTCTTCTTCGTCTTCATCACCCGTATCGGTATCAAGGTGTTGTGGTTCGTCAATTCTTTGACCTTCATCTTCTATCTGTTCTGCTGTAGACGGCAAACGACTTCTGCTTGCACACCATACTTGACTTGGATCTTCATGCTGATGCTCTGGTTCTTCACATGATTCATCCAGGATATCTTGTGGCTGTCTTTGTTTTCGTTGAGGGAATGTGAGGGATGATTTACCGGCAACATCAGTAGAAGTGCCGGTAGAAGCTGGCAATCCACTGATACCTGATCCACCCGCTTCTTGCGATAACAGTTTACGATTACGCACAGAGATATTTGACAGACTTGAAGAAGGTATCAAAGATGATTTGCGCTTTCGTAAAGAGACCACAACAGCTTCGTGTGGTCTGCTCTGTCTTCGTGTTCTTCCCAGCACACTATCAACGCCCGTCAATGATCCTCGATCGCTATTATCGGCAGGTAAACCAGCAGTGTCTGATTGAGAGACGCTTTGATCTTGCTCGTTATCATCTTTCTCATCGTCATCATCTACACATACTGGAGGCCGAATGTCCGGCAATGTACCAGCAACGGCAGAATGTCCATAACGTATCCGCCCGGTGTTCAAGATTCCATAATAGTAGCCCGCTGCCGGTGATTCTTTGTAATCTGTATGACGATCTTTTTATGAAATGAATAATATTTCATCTTTTGTCAAGTACCGTTTTCGTGATAATACTGTCTCACCTGGATCAATCCCATACAACGCTTCCGCTCGCAGAGCAACAATCGGGTTTCTTTGTTGATCAATTTGTTGCTTCTTACTGTTGTCGTTCGTTGAACCAATATTGGCGACGGCATTGGCGATCTCTGCTGATGGTACCAGCGTTGCCTATGCCTTTCCTGTTCCTGGCTGTGGACTTGGCTTGTTGATCTCGGCAATGCTGCTCAAGCTAACATACTCGCTCAACTCTGTGAATGTTCGCGATAGGTAATGCTGGAACCAAAACGTGAAAGCGATCAAAAGCAACGTCAAATTTGATAATAGCAATTGCTTGCGAACCGAAAAGAGGGAAAGTTGGAAGATTTGAAAGAGCAGTAGAGCCCAATGCAACGTATCGATGACAAAGACCATGCTTGACCTCTTGATTCGTATGATCGGTAGAAAAAGAACAAGAGTTTGTACTTGTATACCAAATATGCTAAAGCAAAGTAGATCACTGTAAAGACGGTGATCAATGGTGTGACAATACTGTAAAGGGAACCAATGTGTAAATGATCAAAGCAGCAGGATACATACTTCCAGAGTATAGTTCTGGCGGAGCATTTAGCTCAGCATGTTGACGAGGTGTCTTTGCCGTCAGTTGACTAAACGCACGACCAAATGTGACCGGTATCTGTAGAAGCTGCAGCGGTATGATGGCCAATGACTGAAACACCACGTACGACAAACTGAAATGACGTGCTTGTGGTAAAGGTTGAGCGAGCTTATCGATAATTCTCATCGGATTGCCAGCCAGATCTGTAAGTACTCCTAGTGCGGTCGATGTGATGAGGAAAATGAAGATGACGAAAATCATCAAGGAAAGAAGATACCTCTTCAATACGCTCATCTCAATCAAGCTTCGGGCTTTGTACCTTGCAGATATGCTGTCCATTCGAGGATGAGGGGTAATAAAGCGTTGAGTCCGATTAAAACAACGGATGACAAGTTGGTGCTGACCAATGCTTCCAATCTTCTATTCTTGCGTAGAAGATCGTACAAACCTGGTAAGTACTTCGTGATAATGTTTGGACTTGGCAAAGAAACAAGGAACGTTAATGGCGGAATATAGAAGACGAACAAAGCAATCGTAAGGGCGGAAACGAGAAGTTGTCGAACATGTCTCTCGTTCGAGGGAACGGAAACGTTACTCCAGACGATGTCACGAGGTTCAGGTGCAAAACTTGTCTTGGAATAGCTCGGGATCGGGTAATGAACAGACTGAGCAACAACCTGAGCCCTCATCGCATCACCAAATGTCACAAATCCGACAAAAGATGGTTTACTGCCTTTGGAGCGTAACCGTCTCACTGCCTCGTCATATACTCGGAATCGTGTTTCCAACAGAGTGATTGCATCAAACTTTGATTGATTGATTGATTGAACGTGCATTGTTGGTCTAGGCTTGTTCTTTGGAGCAGTGATTCCAGCTGCAGGATCGGGAAGCTGGTCGGAAGTATCAAGTAGACGAGCACGTTCATCATCGGTGCTAGAAACGTTGCCAACATAGGCAGCGAAAACCATTCGTTTACTACCCTCAGCAAGAGCATGAGCTATACCTAACATCCATATGGAATATATCATGAAGTCGCTCATAAAGAGCTGAGTGCAATTGCGATTGAGGCTATACAAAAGCAATGTTACCTTTCTGTCCGCTTTCCGATGCATACACTCTCATTGCTATACAACCTCCTACCCACCATTCAAAGTCCATCTGATTAACATTGGTCATCTGCTCTGTCTACGTGACGTACACAATGGAAGAACAAGAATCTTTTGTTGTGCTCTATGGTGAGGCCTCGCTTGCTAATCTTGAGTGCCGGCACGCAATCGCATGAATTCGAAAAATCCTGCAGATCGTGTACATCCAAGAATTGTATAAATATTTGACTTCCCTGCTCAATTTCACTTTGCCACCACCACCACCCACTTCCACACGCTGCTCTTCGCAAAAATGCGCATATTTGACTCTATTCCGAGTATTAATGCTTCCCTAAGGTTCGACAGATGGTAGAGGGTTCTCTTTTATGAGATGCTGTACGAATGATTATCTCCCCTTCTTTCCCAGCAGCATGGAAAGCCTTCTTTCGTTAATATGACCGTTTCGAGCCTCAACATTGTTCAAGATGATTTTATTTCGAATGCTTCGAAATAAGCGTTCGTGATTGGAATAATTAAGGCCCAAAAGAAGTACGGAAATGGTCAACCTTTGCTCATTTTCGCATCATGACCAAATCTCAAGACAAACCCACAATGTACAAATCCAAATAGATAATCAATGTCTGTCAGATGGACTTCCAATGGCGGTAGATACGATATTGCTGTGACATTTTACGAAAGGAGACGAAGATTAGTGTATGTACGGACAATCTATCAGGAGGAATGAATCACACGTATCCACTCAAAGGAGGAGAGTTAAGGAAGACGGCTCCAAAAGGGTAGAAATAAACGATGGTGAACGTATAACTAGCTTTCACAGTGCTTAAATGTTGAATACGGGGAATATCAATTATCTGTGATGGACGTGAGACATACAATTTTACGGAATTTCACTTCCAACGCACGATTCGGACCAAATGAATGAGGAAGAGCAAAGGGAACGGAAGATGGCAGAAGAGCAGAGAAAGAGGAACAATGAGATTTATGAAAAGGGGAGCCATAAGACAAGCAGGCATATGCACAGGGTCAAGATGGTGCCATCATCTCACAGATCAGATCCATCGAGAGGATATGTCATCAATTCGTTGGGCTACTGGGCTTCATCTCGACCCTTTTTGCACAATTTTCGACTGGCGATCAAGTGCCGAGGAGGACAAAAGGCCGTTATACACAATGCGGTGGACAGTAAAACCGACTCATCACCGTCTATGGACCACTCAGATTGGGACGCAGGAACATAATCGTTGCTGTGAACGATTGTGGCTCGATCAGTCTTCTACGGTGCGTAGAAGATCAGAAGCAATGGCGTATCGCAGAAATCCAACGATAGGATCGATAGACTATATGCACAATCGTTGTACCATAACTCAACCGTTATACTTATAAAATAGATATGAGCGAATCTGACATTAATCAGAGTGAAGCTGACTCTAGCTCTTCTAAAATGGAACGATTTGCTCGCATAGCTGCTGAAGAGGAAGAGGAGATTGAGATACGCAATGTTTTCAATACGGCGCCCACAATGACGGATCAAGGGTTCACAAAGAGCAGCGAATTTAAGCCAGCATCATTCGTTTCATCTAGAGGTGGGATAGGCTCTTCAAAATTGGGCATCGGGGCTAGCCAAAGGGAGCCAAACAATAATGACGAAGATGACCGATCGCTATCAAGGGCAGGTATCGGAAGGGCTGGAATAGGAAGCAGTAGAGGCATCGATGCAGAAACTTCTGAAAGCGCAGCATCGAGAAAGAGCTCGCTGAATCAATTTATGCCTGCGAAAGATTCTCTGAAAATGTCCAATGAGACGAGCACCCTTCAGCAGGATGCACCACCGTCTTCCGCTTTCTCACAGCGAGCATCATAAGCAAGCAACACCAATACTTTCACCGGCCAGGTACCAAAGATCTCATTCAAAACTGGGGGTGGCAAGTTTGATCCGGCAAAGTACCTCGCTCAGATGGGTTGGTCTGGAGGTGGTCTTGGTAAACAAGGCGAAGGTATCGTAAAACCGATCGAGGTCAAACAAAGACCGGAATGTGCAGGTATAGCATTTAGCGATGTTAAAGAAAAGACGAAACAAGCAAAAGAAGAAGCACGTAGACGTGGTGAACAAGTAAGCTCAGATGAGGAGCACAAAGAGAGAAGAAGTGCAAGAGCCAAAAAGCTTTCATCAAAAGCTGAAACTCACGCATAGACAAAACCCGAACGTAAATCGCGAAAGCCAAAAATTGAACATCGTACCTATGAACAAATCTTGGCAGAACATGGCCATAATGCTGCTCCAAGTGGGGAGATCAAATCATCGTTGATGCTACTGGTAAAGAGTATTCATCTTTATCTGCTGCCCTTGCAAAACATGCTGTCCCGACAAATGACAGCACACAATTAATCGAGATTCGACATAATCTTCGGCTCATTTGTGATGGAAATTCGAAAGCGCTCGACCTGTTAGCAAATGAAGGGTCAGCTATTCAAGATCGTCGTAAGTGGCTCGAGCGTAAATTGCATGAAGCCGTACGTCGCAAACAGAATCTTGTTACCAAGCACGATCGTGTAGAGACTATTGCCAAAATCGTTAGAGAGATTGAGTTGCTTGGAAAACGTGCCGCGATTGACCCTAAGATCGGCCTCGACAGTCTCATGCAACCAGTGCAGGACATCCTACAACGCCATAGAGATGCCATCGCCGAGATGGAAATTGATGCAGCGCTTGTTGGAGCAATTACTCCGATCTTCAAGCGTGAGCTATCTCAATGGTCATCGCTGCAAGATCCTACCCGGCTTTGCATCCCTCTGAAGAGCATCAGTGGTGCCCTTCGCATTTCAGTCAAGGATGAGATCATGATGCCATATCAATCTCTTCTGTGGAATGTTTGGATGCCACCGGTGCGATCTGCATTAAACAATGAATGGGACGTATTCGGTTCGACTGCAGTAACGAAGTTCTATGAATCTTGGACACCCCTCTTACCGGCTTTTATTCGCGATAATGTCACCCATCAACTCATTCTGCCTAAATTGCGCTCTGCTGTTTCTGATTGGGATGGCAAGAGTGTTTTATACAAAGTTGTATTCCCATGGATGCCGCTCTTGCATCATCAAATAGACGATATCATCTTAGAGTCAAAGAGACGAATTCGTTCATCACTCAAATCATGGAGAGTCTCAGAGGGTATCCCATCCGAGTTGCGTAAATGGAGAGATGTTTTCCGTACAAGCGAATGGGATTCGATGCTGTTAGAGTATGTAGTGGAGAAGCTGTCAACGTATTTAAGAGTGGAGCTCAAGATCACTGCAAGCCCTCGAGCGCAAGATAGATAGCCTTTGAAGGATGTTCTATAATGGAAGCCTTTGCTGGGCAGCAGGACGTTGTCCAAAGTCATGTTAGCAGGCTTTATACCTAATTGGCTTGAACAGATGTATGCGATGCTCATCAATCCGAACAGCAATACAGTAGAGGTTGTAGATTGGTATAGCAAGTGGAAGTCATACCTTGAAACGAAGCACGTCGACAAATATGAAAGCGTGTAGATCGGCTTTCAAGCAGCTTTACAGATGATGGATGATGCTCTACGATCTGATCGCTTGTCTCTCAAGATACCAGATCTGAAACAGTTGCAGCGTAAATACGAAGCTGATTCAACAATCAAAAAGTCAAGATCAAAATCATCCCGCCAAGAAACGAGCACAGCCAGTTTCCGTCAAATTGTCGAAGAAGCGGCTGCAGAGGCTGATTTAATCGTTCAAACACTCAAAAAGACCGATATAAGAAGTGGAATAACCCCTTTATCGCATTTCACGCGCGATTGATGGCAAGGCTGGCTTAACATTTTACCTTGAAGATGATGTCATTTTCCTTGAACGCAAATCAGAGCGGGGCCAATTTGATCCAGTCTCGGTTGAAGAGTTAATCAGAAGCTGTGCATAGCGGTGTAGGCACAATTGTGTATTTATAAGAATAATCGTGTATAATATTATCCCCAATCAGCCCGTTTGTTAAGATGACCAGCCCCATGAACGTACTTTGCAGGGCACTTTGAACGCCATTTGATAAAGTGCGACTTTTTTTGTTTATTCGTGATAGATACTTAAGGCCCTTTGAGTCAACAATGTTACCTCTAATTTCCATGTAAAAATATTATTCGACGAAAAAAAAGATAATATAAAGCGCTGAAGTTTAGGTATATATAATATATTTATCTAGCGATAAATATATTAATATAATCCTATTAAAGAGATTAAAGATCCTTCCTCCTCTTTAATATAGTATAATTATTTAAAATTATTTAAAATATAAAAAAGAAATAATTTAATATAAATTAAAATTATATAATTAATTTAATAAATATAAAATAATATAAAAATCTATTTTTAAAAAAGTTTAAATAAATAAATATTTTATAAAGTTTATTATTAATCTTATATAAAAAATTATTTAAAATATATTTACTTTTAAAATAAAAAATAATTTATATAATATAATTAAAAAGATTAAAAAATATATTAAAATATAAATTAAATATATTAAATAATTTTAAATTAAATAAATAAATTAAAATATAAATAATATAATTATATTACCTTATTTTTATTTATTAAAATTTTAATTTCTTAAATCTTATTTAAATTTATATATATATATATAATTAATTAATAAAATAAATTTCTTTTAATATATAAAAATAATAATTTCTAATATTTTATTAATTATATCTTTTTTTATTATTTATATAATTTATTTTTATTTTATAAAAATAACTTTTTTAATATTATTTAATATTTTAATCTTTTTAATTTTTATATTTATTATAAATTTAAATCTTATTAAATCTTTTAATCTTATATTTATATATTATTTAAAAGAAAATAATTAAAATCTATAAATAAAAATTATATATTAATATTTTAAAATCTATATATATTATTATTTTAAAGTTTTTTATTATCTTTAAGATTATATATTATAAGAATATAAATTATATTAGTTATTTAAATATATATCTATTTTTAAAAATAATTAAATAATAATAATTTAGATCTATAAAGTTTTATATAATAATTATCTCTTATATATTTTAAATATATATTTACTAAATTTAATATTAAAAAGTTATAATACTTTTAATTATTATATTAGTAATTAAGGCTATTTAATAAACGATATAAATACTTTAATACCGATATATATAATAAAGACGAAAGAGATAAATTAGAAGAGACAGTAGGTATCTATATATATTATTAATTACGATAAACGATACCTTTACACTCGTTCCTGGTTTTTAAGACCAGCCGATTCGTACTATCTCTTTAGAGATACCTAATATCTTTATAAAATAAAATGTAATGTCGCTTATAAAGAGATAGGAGCAATAGAGGCTACATTACAGCACTACTACCCTTCTATCTGCTCTTCGATACATAAACTCTTATTACGATTCAACCTCCTACCCGTTGGACAGCAATCTACACCATTCGAATTCTAGGACATTGATTATCTGCTCTACCTATATGACATACACAATAGTCACATCTGCTAGCACATACTCGCATAAATTACGAAAAGTCTACAGAATAGGTGTACCCAAGAGAGGTTCGCCTTGACTTTCCCTTTTCAAATTCATCCTACTACCACCACCCACTTCTATACACAGCTCTTCGCAGAAATACGTCATTTGACTCTATTCTAAGCATTAACGTTTCCCTAGGCTGGATAAGAGCATCAAGCATAAATTCGACAGATGGTAAAGGGTTCTCTGCTTTAAGATGCTACATAGATGATTCTCTCCCCTTTTTTCCTACAGCATAGAAAGCCTTCTTACGTCAAGTTGACCGTTTCGAGCCTCAACATTGTTCAAGATGACTTTACTTCGAATTCCGTCAGCACAACGTCCGTGGTGGGATTGATCAAGGCCCAAAAGGAGTATAGGAATAGTCAACCTTTGCTCGTCCTCGCATCATGACCAAGTCTCAAGAAAACATCAGTAATGATTGAATGGCGTACAGCGGAGAGTTTATAGTAGTTGGTTATAGAAGTAAAACGTAAGAGGAGAATTGGTAGGTATAAGAGATTATGGTGGTAAATGTGGAAGCAAAAGGCTCAGCACTTAATTCCTCAAACGAGCGAACAGAAACGGCAGCCTTGCTTGGTCGTAAGCTTGCTTTAAAGTAAACAGTCTCGCAAACCTTATCTAAATCTTTATGCGTATACAAATGATTAATAGAGTAAATTTCTTTTGATATATATAAATAATCATTTCTAGCATTCTTTCAGTTTTATCTTTCCTCATTATCCACACAATTTATCGTTGCTTTATAAAAATAATCTTCTTAATATTATTTTATACTTTGATTCTTTTAAGCTCTATACTTATTGTAAGCTCGAGCCTTATTAAACCTCTTGATCCTGTATTTGTACACCGCTTAGAAGGAGGACATTCGAAATCCACAGGTGAAAACCATACATCAACACTTTAAAACCTCATACATCATCACTTCAAAGTTCTCCATCTTCTCTAAGATTACGTAACATAAGAGTATAGACTATACTAGTCGTTTATATACATGCTCGCCCTTAAAAACAATCAGATAACAATAATTCAGGTTCATAAAGTCCCGTTCAACGATCATCACCTTTACGCTCCGAGCACAACATTTACCAAACTCGGTATTGAAAAGTTACAGCGCTTTTGATCATCATATTGGTAATTGAGGCTGTTCAATAAACGATATGAATATCTTGATACCGATACGTGTGATAAAGACAAAGGAGACGAATCAGACGAGACAGCGGGCGTCTATATGCATTGCTGTTTACGACAAACGACGCCTTTACGCGGTCTTCAAGACCAGCCGATTCGCACCATTTTTTTGGAAATACCTAACATCCTTATGAAATATATCATGATGTCGCTCATAAAGAGATGGAAGCAATTGAGGCTACTTAAAAGCACTGTTAACTTTCTGTCCGCTTTCCGATGCATACACCCTTATTGCTATACAACCTCCTACCCGTTGGACAGTAACATCACACCATTCAAAGTCCATCTGACGAACATTGGTCATCTGTTCTGCCTATGTGAGGTACACGATAGAAGAACAAGGATCTTTTGTTGTGCTCTATGGAGCGGCCTCGCTTGCTAATCTTGAGTGCCGGCACGCAATCGCATGAATTTGGAAAATCCTGCAGATCGTGTACACCCAAGAATTGTATAAATATTTGATTTTCCTGCTCAATCTCACTTTGCCACCACCACCACCCACTTTCACACGCAGCTCTTCGCGAAAATGCGCCCATCTGACTCCGTTCTGAGCATCGATGTTTCCCTTGGCTGGATGAAAGCATCATGCAACAAGCTCGACAGATGGTGAAGGGCAAGGGTCTTTCACACGCTACTCCCCTCTCAAAAGTCGCCCATCTGACTCCGTTCCTCGAACTTGATGCTCCTGAATCTGGGCGAGTGATTTCCCATGGATGGACGAAAGTATCTTGTAAAAGGTTCGACAGATGGTAGAGGGTTCTCCTTTGTGAGATGCTAGATAGATGTTCCTTTCCCTTCTTTCCCATATGATACAGCTACATCGATATAAATACGGAAAGGGAACACCTTCTTTCGTCAAGTTGACCGATGCTGTCATGGACAACACTCATCACCTTTACGCCCCGTTTACAGACTTTCACCAAAGTCGGCAATGAAAGCTTATCGGTAAATAAGATTATGGGTTATTCAATAAGTGGTATAATGTATAATGTTTCTTTATCGCCCCCTACAAGCTCTCTAACACTTTTTGTACAAAAGCATTCTCGCCGCAACGTTCACGATATTCAGCAACAAGAAATGAAAGAGATTCGGCCTCCGTACCATCCGAACGCATTCTCTTGTTGGAAGCGAAAGCACGCATGAACTCTTCAATAATCTCCATACCCTCTTCCGTACTTTTCGCATGCACGGTGAGCAGTGGAGAAATCTCCCCGTCAACGTCTTCCATTTCATCTGCTTTGCGTTTGGCTAACTTGATCACACTGGGAGAGAACCCGGCCAATTCAGCTACATGAATATTGTAACTGCGATCATAAATTCCCGGCTCTACTTTGTATAGCAGTGTGATTTCGCTTTCCTTCTCTAATGCTTGCGAGTCGTGACGTGGTTCAACATGAACCTTACAGTGTAAGTTTTGCACATGTTTAATCTGGTCTGCCAATGCGACAGTTTCAGCAAAGTGGCTTGCAAAGAGGCATTTGCTGCGAATCTTTGAAGAGATGAATTCTGAAATACTCCATGCCAGACCAAAACCATCATACGTTGAGGTTCCACGACCGAGTTCATCGATGATGATAAGAGAATCACGTGTTGCCAATCGCAGGATCGTAGATGTTTCCAACATTTCAGCTATAAACGTCGATACACCTTTTGTTTGATTATCACCTGCTCCAAAACGAGCAAGGATAGCATCGAATATCGGAACTTTTGCACCTGGAGCACATGATACAAAACAACCTGCTTGACTCACCAAAGCGATGATTCCGATCGATCGAATGTATGTACTCTTTCCTCCCATGTTAGGACCTGTGATCACCAAGAATTTGCTCTCGTCGGGGACCGTTTCAGCGTCATTCGGAATGAAGTTAAGATCGTCTTGCACTTCGAGGCACGGGTGACGTGCTTCTTTGACGATCATAGGGGCATTCTTGCCCATTTCGAAGATCTGAGGTCGAACATAAGGTATAGGTGCGTGTGATGAAACGAATGCAAAGCTGATGATCACGTCCAAGTTCGCAATGATCGCATTGAACTGTTCAAGCGGTGGACAATAGCCAGCGGCAATCATGATGACTTGCCTTACCAAACCACTTTGATGGGTTGAATACTTGTTTTGCAAATCAATATGATCCACTGAAAGATCCTTCGCTTGACGTATCATGAACCAATCGGACACTTTACAAGTGCAAAATCTAAAATGGCAATGCAATCCACGCACAAGATGGCTTCCCAACGGTTTCCAACTTGAACGTCTTGGCTGACATCATCCATCTGCATTTGCATGTCTCCACTGATCTATCCTTTGCGAACTGGTGACAATGGTCGATTAAATCCACCTTTTCGTTGCATGTATTGTCTCCATGTTCTCTCTTTTCGTACTTCTGCCGTTCCCGCTTGATTGCCTTGTACTTTTTTACCCTGTGTGAGAATGATTGTGTCAGTGACTTACATCTAAATGACCCGCACCCACACACTTCTACTCACCTTTGTTGTACCGAATCCACCGAATCCCATCGCTTTCATCATATCGTCTTCATCTTCATTGCCATTTTGAGCTCTTTCTTCTAGTTCTTGCTTTGCTTTAGCATCAGCAGCTGCCAGTGATACTTGCTGCTCTTCTTCTTCTTCTTTCTCTTTTTGTCGTTTCTGTTTACGCTCTTCTTCATCCCTTCTTGCTTGTCGTGTGGGAGGAGAAGGATCCCTTCTTCTGTGATAGCCATCTCATTGAGAATAACGATCATCCCTTCTTACATGACGATCTTCATGACGTGAAGATGTTGCTTCTCTTCGATAATCTCTTTGCGGACTTTTTCGATCGTACCTCCTTCCATCTCTTTCTCTTTCATCCTGATTGTATCCACGTCTAGAAGGACTCACGCTTCTGCGATCTCGTTCCCGATCCCGATCCAAGTCACGATAGCTACGTGCAGGTGCACGATCACCGTATCTAGAGGACATTGTTACGTTATGGTCAAATGAGAATGATGGTAAACTTTATTTTTTGTTGGTTTGCCTCCACCAGGGAGGGCGTAAGGAGATGGATGCAACACGCTAAGGTGTGCCTGCTTGCCCTGCTTGCATGCATACAGTAAAAGACTTCAGGAAGAAGAAAAGATTATCCGATAAGAAGACGATTCGAGTCAGCCGAGCAGATCATCTATTGCCATCATCATCATCATCAGTAACAGCGCAATGGCCAAAGATGGGAGCAGTACACAAAGACAGGCTCCAAGCTTCACAACTTCATTAATGGCAGGCGCATTATCCGGCTTATCGGTTGATCTGTTATTTTATCCAATAGATACTCTCAAGACAAGGTTACAATCTTCTCAAGGTTTTTGGAGATCAGGAGGATTTACTGGCATTTATAGAGGAATCGGAAGTGTGGCAGTTGGAAGTGCACCGGGAGCAGCTTGTTTCTTTGTCACATATGAAAGCTTGAAACCAATCTTTGCAAATATAGAATCAAGCAATGGCAAAGATGGTCTATGGGCTACTGCAGGTTCACATATGGTCGCTGCAAGCTTGGCCGAAGTGGTTGCTTGTATGATTCGTGTGCCTACCGAAGTGATCAAATCACGTCAACAAACGTCTACATATGGAATCAAAACCAGTTCCATAAAAGCCTTACAAGCAGTCGTACAAGAATCAGGCATGCGAGGTTTGTACGTTGGTTTCGCAGGTACGGTAGGAAGAGAAATTCCATTCACATGCATTCAATTTCCACTTTATGAACATTTGAAATTACTCATCTCTCAATCAAAATTCTTTCAAAACCTTGACCCTAACTTCTCATCAATAAATAATCGAGATGCAAGATCGATACCAACTTGGCAAGCAGGCTTAGCCGGAAGTATAGCAGGTTCAATCGCAGCAGGATTAACAACACCTTTGGACGTCGTAAAAACACGTATCATGCTCGAAAGAAGGGCAAAAGGTCAACCCGTTCTCACTCAAACTGGTGTCAATACTAAAATTTTACCAACCCTTCGTCATATCGCTACAAACGAAGGCATCAAAGCTCTCTTTTCCGGTTTCATACCAAGAACGATTTGGATCGGATTAGGAGGGTTTGTATTCTTAGGAACGTTTGAAGCAGGAATCAAAATTATTCAAGGTCCAATAGCATGAACCTCCCAATGGCATCTCTGGAAAATAGAATTTTGCGCCCTTGCGGGTGTTTGTATAATGTACAAAAGATAAAGTGAAACTCATCTAAACCCGTAGAACAGGTGTTTGTGATTGGGAAAGTAGTTTGCTCAATTGATCAACTTGAACGTCTTCGCGGATAACAGTTGCTTTGACGTCATTGTCAGGGTTGGCAGGAACAGAAATCTGTTCACCTTCAATCGTCCATCCAGGATATTGAGAGATAAAATTTGGCAATTCTTGCTTGGACAGATTTAGGTATTCAGCTAACCTTGTTGAGCTGATTGTACGGAAAGCACCCTTTACACTTTCCAAGGCAACCTGTCTGATCGCATCTTCGAATCCATGTGCCCCTTTTGCGAATTCACGAACATCACTGTAATCGGCCGATGCAAATGTTTTCCAGAATAGTCTGAATCGTGCCGAAAGAAGGTAAGAGGATAAATTTGACAATTTGACGATCAAAGGATCGGTAAGGTTACCGGCAGCGGGAACTGACGTAGCTTCTTTAGTCGAACGTCTGATTTCTTCTTTTTGTTCTTCTGTTGCTTCTTCTGGGAACGAAGGAGTAGAAGATGGCAAAGTGGAAACGGGAGATTCACCCAATAGAGACAAGCACAAATTGAAGTCGGGGAAAGGTGCAGCTGTCAATGCTTTGAGGAGAACGGAAATAGCAACGGAATATTCAAAATCTTGAGGGTTGAATTGGAACCTAAAATAGCAGTAAAATAGGTCAGTAAGAAGTCCGTGAAACACATGCTGGTGAATTCCACCCCTCATCTTCCCTCCTTTGTCCATGTATCAGATAGAGCTAATAACAAGCATGCCTCCCTGTACATCTCTCCATTCAAAAGTGATATACTCGGCTTGCGTACTGGTGTACTTGATCATCGCGTAATGGGTCTATGCCATCCATTCTCAGTATAAACGGCTCAATAGTATCTCCCTTGCACACTCACAATTTCAAGATGGCCAAATTTGCCAAACAATCGTACTCCCCATTTTGCAATTGTTGTTCTAGGTACTCGGTCAAAACGTTTAAATTTTGTGGATTATATCTGTCTACGCCTGAGATCAATTGTTCAATATGTTCAGGTCGTGTAGAAGGAGTTGTCCATTCTGATACGGTTGTCGCCATTTTTGATAAATAGGTAAGATGGTGATGACCTGCTGTAAATTGAGAATGATTGGAATTCCCTTTTGAGAAGAAATCAATCGCGCAAACGTTGCAAGCTTAAATTGAAAGAGCTCACGTGCTTGCTATTGTGTTCCTTTGCTTGTTAAGCCTTCGTGACGCGCGTACAGAGAATGCTTCAATGCACAGTCCACTTTCCACCCTTTGATAACCAACCAACCAACAGGCAGGCAAGCAGTACGCGTGTCCAAAGCAATAACCATCAAATGGAGGATTGATTAACAACAATCCTTACCTTTCTTCCTTCCAACCTTACTCGAATCATTCGTGCCCAACATGGAAGAGATTGGCATTTCTATTCGCAAAGAAGAGCCAACATTTGAAGATGCAGTGGCTGAAAAGACTGCATTGCACAATGAAATGGCACAGGAAGAGGATACATTCTTACGATTCAAGAAGCTACAACAACATCTTGAATTCTTGAGCACGATGGAGGATTATGTCAAAGATGAACAGAGAAATTTAAAAAGAGAGCTCGTACGAGCACAAGAAGAAGTAAAGAGAATTCAATCTGTTCCATTGGTCATTGGACAATTCTTGGAACCTATCGATCAACATACAGGTATCGTCGGATCAACAACGGGATCCAATTACGTCGTCCGCATCCTTTCAACAATCGATCGTGAACTTCTCAAAGCAAACAGTTCCGTAGCACTACATAGACACTCCAACAGTTTGGTTGATGTTCTACCGCCAGAAGCTGATTCAAGTATCGCACTTTTAGGCCAAGAAGAAAAACCTACAGAGACATACGCCGACATTGGTGGTCTGGATATCCAGAAGCAAGAAATTCGTGAGGCTGTAGAGTTGCCATTGGTACAATTTGATCTGTATCGACAGATTGGTATCGATCCGCCTCGTGGTGTGTTGCTATATGGACCTCCGGGAACAGGAAAGACAATGTTGGTCAAAGCTGTTGCAAACGCCACAACAGCTTCCTTTATTCGTGTGGTAGGATCAGAATTTGTACAAAAGTATCTTGGTGAAGGGCCACGTATGGTCAGAGATGTTTTCCGATTGGCAAGAGAGAACGCACCAGCAATCATTTTCATTGACGAAATTGACGCAATTGCAACCAAACGTTTCGATGCACAAACAGGTGCCGATCGCGAAGTTCAACGTATTCTGCTCGAATTGCTCAACCAAATGGACGGTTTCGACCAAGGCAGTAACGTCAAAGTGATCATGGCAACCAACCGTGCCGATACACTTGATCCCGCCCTTCTCCGTCCAGGTCGTTTGGACAGAAAGATTGAATTCCCACTACCTTCTCGACGTGAGAAACGTCTAATCTTCCAAACGATCACAGGAAAGATGAATCTGGCACCCGATGTGGACTTAGAAGATTATGTGTCAAGACCTGATAAACTTTCCAGTGCGGAAATTTCTTCCATCTGTCAAGCTGCCGGACTGCGTGCAGTTCGATCGACGAGATACGTTATCATTCCTTCTGACTTTGAAGATGCTTGGAAGCAAGTAGTCAAGAGAAGTGATGATGGAAAGATGGAGTTCTACACTTGAGCTCTGACGACAGAATATGTATTGTACTTGTGAGTATACCAGACATGGCGGCAATTCCAGCACGAAACTGACAATATTCTTCTCTTCCCATGCACAGAGTAGACGCATCGAATATATCTTATCAGCACTATCGATTTGTGAGAAGAGAGTAGATTTCCCCATTCCCCCTTCACCCGCTTAAAATTCACTTTGCTTCAGCGTAGCCATCACCCCACTCGCTGTAGCTTGCAAACGAGCGGTAGATTGAACAAAAGGCCGCTTACTCACGGCGGCGGGTATTCGATCCCGTTGACCGTCCTATGTTTTGCTCTTTTGTGCCCACATATTCTGTACATTATCAATTTTCAATTAATCATTTTCAAGTTCTGTGATGGTATTGTTGTACATTTGGTGCTGAGTATGAAATTTAGAGTTGAGTGTCCCTGGCAGAATGTCTACTTGGGGTCAGGTTTCTCGTTCGCAGAAATGGCTCCATCATTGCCAGGTGATGATGCTCGTCGCTATCATATGTGTCTCCTCTGACAGAGCCAAACTGCTTCACGCCAATTGAAGACAAGCGGAGGAAGAGATTTTTGTATGGAGATATGTCCAAATTCAGAAAACGATATAGGCTCACCATCTTGCATCATTGGCTTAAAGAGCGATGGCAGATGGCAATCCTGCTGATCAGAGAGTAGGTGTGTGAACGTGCTGATCAACGGATCAAAACCATCTTTTGTCCCACCTGCTTTGAAGATTTCCTCTGTTTTATCGTACACCCAAACGTTTGTATTGCCAGCCAAAACGTTGGGTAATGCGTTCAAGCCGAATGCGCCTGTTTGAGATCTTTGTGCAAGGTTGATACTTTGGAACAAGCTTACACCCGTCATTGCTGGTAATACGTCAATATGCACAACTGTTGCATTTTGATCGGGAATAAGGTTGTGCAAAGCTTTCAATGCTTCACCTCCAGGATAGTTTCCCGCACTGGCATAAAGAGACATGCCAGTCAAAAGTATCGTTCCGGCCAGAAGCATGCAGACGAACATACGACCCAACAAAAGATGATATCGAATCTTTCCGATCCCTTGCCAGATAGCTGCTGCTCCTTTGGCGGCGTATAGGTTTAAGAGCGGTGTGAGATAAGTGATGAAGCGAGTCTCTTTATGGCCCAAACAACTCATGATTGCAACGTGCGATACAATCACCACCAAAGCTTTGAGTGGTTTTGGATCACTGTTTGAATTTGATCTAAAGGAGATAGCAATACCGCCAAAAAAGAGTAAGATGCAAGGTATAGATATCAATTTTGCAATATGTTGTGTAATGTATGCATGCCAACTTGATACACCCCACTCTGAACTCTTTCCTTCGACGACGTTGAACAAGATTGCTTCTAATTCTGGCCATGCATAACCTTTGACAGAATTAAGGTTTAGTGGGTTCCATAGATGAAAAGGTCTACCCCACATATACGTATCCAGTGGAACTGAGATGGCAAGTGCAAAGATTCCCGCCGAAAGTCCGGTTTGTGCAACTTTGACAAACGATCGTATTCCATCACTTGCTATCATAAGTGCGATGGGTATAATCAAACCGACAATCTCCAACCTTGCAATGACTGCAGAAACAGTCAACAGAAACAGACCCGCATATTTCCTTGTATTTGACCTTGAATCGGCAAGACTGAATGCTAATGCCAAATTTACGATTGGCAAAATGATTCCATTTGGAGTTGTACGACCTGCCCAAAAGAGTGGATGAAATTGAATCGAATAAAGCAGAAAGAAGAAACGTTTTGTTAACCGATTTCGAATAACGAGATTTGCGAATACGATCACAGAAACGGCATGCAACGTGGTCAAGATCAATCGAAGCACTAAACCTGCATGAGCGCTGTTTTGGATCAAATGAAATGATTTGAGTAAAGCTAAGATCGGATAAGAAATAATACTTAAGCAAGTTGGACCGAAGAAAGATCTTGGTACTGCTCCTGTAAATGTGATATGATCAAATTTTAACCTTGCACTTGATCCGATTCCACAGGCTAAAATATCATGAATAGCTTGTAATGAAAATGATTCTTCAACTTTTGTAAAAGGAGCTAAAAAGATGTGAAGATAAGAGGATATCAGTAAGGCTACTGATTCTGCCTTGAAAGCAATCTTTGGCATGCTCTATGAATGGTAAAGAGAATTAAAGTTCAATTCAATCATCTTTTTGCAGCATCATCAGCATTCAACCGGAAAAAGGAAGACATGCATTGCATAAGACATGGTTCGTGCGCGTTGCATAATGTATTACCCCACTCCCAACGAATTCAAGGCGAATGAACAGTCGATCAAAGATGTCGTGCGACATTCATAACGGGCTCATTCGATCAGTATAAAGAGACACACATTCACAAACAACAAATCCCACCTCTTGACCATCATCCCATCAATCTATCCATCCAACAAATCACTTACCAAAATGCAATCAGCTTGCCCATGCAGTCAAAACGGCACTTGCCAATGTGTTCAAGTGAGTTACAGATGGGTGATCATGTTTGATCACATTAGGAAATTGCATTACTGACCATCTCACATTCTTTGCAGGCAAACAAATGTCAATGTCAAAATGATTGTTCATGTGCTAGCTGCCCAAGCAAGTAAGCAAGAACAAATTGACTCTGATGTGATTGAATTATTGGCCGGTCTATCTTCTCTTCGTTACAAACTCTTCTTTTGATCTCTTTTTGCTGTTGAAATATTCAACGATATGAAATGAATCATGAT